TATTGTTTATTTATAATAGTGTTTTTTATTGCATTGGAAAAGGGATAAAAATGGATAAATAAGGCATAAAAATCAAATTTAAAAGGAAGGAGGAAAAAGAATAGTGGTAAAGGGAAGAGAGATAGAAGTTAAAATGAGGTGAGTATAAAGGAAGAAGAAGGAAGGAAATGGACATGGAAAGGAAGAAAGGAGGGACCCATAAGGATTTAATTAATTGACAAAATACATAAAATTAGGTATAGTTCCGACAAAGCACAATATTTGGAGAGACACTAGGAAATAGTTAATATCAATTAGTTGATATAATATCTGTTCTATAGATTTTTTTTCCTTTCTCAGTTTTTTGAAATAGAGGTATTTCTTTCCAGGCTGTCAATCTCAGATCTTAAGAGGAAGATGATGCTTGTTTTTTTTTTTTTTTTTCCTGAGCTCTGACCCATATTGCTCAAACTTGTTAGTGGATTCTGTGTGCTGAGCTCCACCCTCTCATTTCCTGGCTGACTCAATCACACTTCTCATTAGAGCCTTAGTTCACATGCTGGGGTGATGTATGTGTGATGCATTGTCGCATGCCATCCATGGGCCTTGTGTGTGTGAGCTATGCACATTTGAGCTTATAAAGGGACTGGCCTGATGTTGCTGCCTGATTGGGCTGTGTGATGTATGTGTCCTTTTCTCTCTCTCTGCCTTTGATCCCACTCAGCCCCTGAGATGGGTGTGGCTTTCCAAGATGTCAGTCAATCTGCTGACCACAGGACATCACCAAGCAAGACTCCACCCTTCAGAACCCAATCCCTTGCCTTATTTGGGTGGAACTTTCTAGAATGTCTTTTCTCCAATAAATAGAAGGTTTCAGATGTACTCTCTTGCTCCTTCCAGTGCTGGAACTGACCTTTGAGTCACCAAGCCATCCTGTCTTTGAAACTTATGTTTGTGTGCTGCATGGTTTCTTTGCTGTTTTCTTAGTTATTGATACAGCCAGCTCCTTTGAACCTGGCTCATATCACCAGCCCAGTCAGCTGGCAATAATGAATCATCCTATCCTTCAAACTCCTTCTGGATTTGAGTAGATGGTGCAATGATCACTAGTTTGTGTTAACCCTAATCAGCCCCACACCCTCCTACCTCCAGTGTCAGACAAGGTCCTTATCCAGAGTTCAAATCACCGGTATCAAATGGAAGTATCCATCACTATTATTTTCTTTGCTTTTGAAAATAGAACTGACTGCCCTGAGTTTTTCTCCATTATCTTTTAGTCTCTCCTCTATGGACATATCATAGTTTGGCAGGTTTTGTGCCATAGTATTTCCCATGTGCTCCTCTCCTCCTTATCCTTTCTTTACTCTGTTGCTCTCCTTTCTATTTTTTGTCTCTCTATCTTCTACACATGAGAGAAACATTCAAACTTTGACTTTCTGAGTCTGACTTAGTTCACGTTGCATGATGTTCTCCAGCTCTTTCTATTTATCAAAAATGATATGATTTTATTCTTCTTTGTGACTGAACAAAATGCCATTGAGTATATATACCATATTTTATATATCCATATGTCTATTGAGGGACACCTAAGGTGGTTCCATAACTTGACTATTGTGTCTATAAACGCTGCTATAAACATGGGTATGAATGTATCAGTAAAGTATTCTGATTTCCACTCTTTTGTATAATATCAAAGAGTGAGTTAGCTAGATCATATGGAGGTTCCAGTTCTAGTCTTTTGAGGACTCTACATACTGTCCAAAGTGGTTGTACCATTTTTCAGTACCACCAACAATGAATGTGTGTACCTACTCATGTATCCTCACAATCAATTATGATTATTTGTTTACTGGAGAGAAGTGAAATGTCAGTGTAGCTTTGATTTGCATTTCCTTGATTGCCAGGAATGTTGAACATTTTTTTCACATATTTTTTTTGATAATTTGCTTTTCTTCTTTTGAGAAATGTATGTTTAGTTCATTTGCCCATTTATTGGTTGGATTGCTTGTTTCTTTGTTTTTGCTTGGAGTTCTTTCCATATTCTAAACATTAATCCCAGAAGAGTAACCAGAAAAGATTTTGTGCCATAGTATTTCCCATGCACTCCTCTATTTCCTATTCTAGCATTCTGTAGTTTCTTTCTTCATGCTCTTGTTTCTGTTGCTGAATAGATGCTTCTAAATTTTATGCTGTACCATTTATTGATTCTTGGTTTTATTGCTTTAGCTTTAGGAGTCTTATTTAGGAAATCAGTGACTGTGTCATTATGTCTGAGAGTTGAGCCTATGTTCTCTTCTAACAGTTGCAGAGTTTCTGGTCAATTCCTAGCCATTTGATCCACTTTGGATTTTTATGCATGGTAACAGATAGGAATCTGCTTTATTTCTTCTACATATAGATATTCAGTTTTTCCAGTACCATTTGTTAAAAAGGATATCTTTTATCCAGTGAACGTTTGTGACAACTTTGTCAAGTGTCAGAGATTGCATCTATGTGGATTTTACTCTGTGTCTTCTGTTCTATTTCATTGGTCTTTGTGTCTGTTTTTATGCCAATACCAATAACAATACCATGCTATTTTTGTTATTATAGCTCTGTAGTGTAATTTGAGATCAAGTATTGTGATGCTTCCCAAGTGCTGTTATTGCTAAAGATTGTTTTGGCTTTTATATATCCATATGAATTTTAGGACTTTTCTCCTGTTTCTATAAAGAATCTCATTTGCATCTTGATCAGGATTGCATTAAATCTGTAGATCATTTTTGGTAACATAATCACTTTGATAATACTAATTCTGCCTATCCAAAAACATGGGAGGCTTTCCTCATCTTCTGAGGTCTTCCTCAATTTCTTTCTTCAGTGTTCTCTAATTTTCAGTATAGCAATCTGTCACTTCCTTGGTTAGATTTATTCCTAGGCAGTTGGGGTTTTGAGTCTACTGTGAATGGAATTGCTTTCTTGATTTTTTTTCTCAGAAGATTCATTATTGGCATGTAGGAAAACGATTGAATTTTGTATGTTGATCTTATATTCTGTTACATTGCTGAATTTGTTTATTAGCTCTAGAAGTTTCCTAGTGGAATATTTTAGGTCTTTTAGGAATCATGTCATTTGTGCTTATTTTCTTCTCAGAGTGTGACTGCACTGGACTATGGTGTCCCTTTTCTTAAACTGGGTGGCAGAGATTCTATTGTCTCATTGGAGAGGAGCTGCTGAGCCACCACTTCCTGGACACTGCTGATGTCTATTGATTTTTTAAATTTTCTTTCTACTATGGAACATCATGTTTTGGTTTTGATCTGTTTGGTAACTCTAGGAATTTCCTCACAGTTCTTCCTGAGTTTGCCTCTGAAGAACTAACTGATGTTTCAATTAATGCTCTGGGAACTGCAAGGATATTGTGTGTTCCTCTGATCTAGAGTGTTCCTCATTTTCATTACTGTCATCTTAACAAGAGTAAAGTGCTTTACTCTATGACATTAGAGTGATGTGTGTTGTTTAGTGATGTGTGCAATTTAGTTCCTTGAAATTTTGACTTGAAAAACCTAGAAAGCTAGGTAAGGGCAATGTTACTTTTTCTAAGGAATATACCTATTGATATAATGTCTGTATGAATTTTGATTATGTATTATTGGACATGCTACAGACCACTTGGAGATTATACAAGCATCATTAAACAAATTCTTGCCTTTGGACTGGCTAAAATTATACATTTTATATGTTAATTATGTTATGATTATTTTATAGTTATATTTAAAAATTATCTTTAGCTAAAATTTAAAATTAATCCTTGCTGATGTCAATTTTATGTAAAATTATCCCTTTAGTCCTAAATAAACACCGTTTATCAAGTACTTTCTCTTTCCCAGTTTCCGAAGTCAGAGCTCTATTGAGTTAGCCCCCTTTCAGAATCTTCATTGTCCCTACTCCTTTCTTAATTCTCATTGTACAGTAAACATGCTTTGCTCATGTTTGTAGAATCTTTTCAATTTGTATATTAAAAGTAGGGTGAAATTCATGGTGAATATATTCTTGTATTTGTTTCCTAAGCCAAGTTACCTGTTGCTTCACATCTGAAATGCACTAGTTGCTAGCCCTATTTTGCCTTTAAAATTCATTCTCACATTCTGTACTCTGTTTTATAATGTGATGCTATATTAGTTTTTGCAAATTTTCCTGATTGTAATGAGTGTGTGAAAAGTCCTGAACCCAAATAAATTAGCAGTAGAAGAAAATTGCATATTCTTGATTTCTTATTATATCTTCTCTGGTATGGCCCTAATTTACTTGTTCACCTCAATTATGATCATGAATATTGACAAGTAAGAAAAATTCAATAACCAGTGCTTAAAATGGTGTATTTGGTCATCTTACATGCAAAGAAGTCTGTGGTGGGCCAAACTAAAGTTAGTACAGTCACCCAGAGACATTAGAGACTCAGGTGCCTCCATTTTCCTTCACTACATGCCTTGGGTTGCATATGGTTTCTTCACTCCAAAAATGAATTTGAAAGTTGTTCCATAATGTAAATTTTGAGAGGTTTGGGAAAAAATAAAACTTATTCTTTATAAACTACCCATTTTCCGAGAGTCTGTTATAGCAACGGATAATGAACTGAAAAATCATAAATGATTTTTAGATGCCACCTTTTATCTTCATGCTTAAATATTGCTGTATCAAAATGATTTCTGCCTTGCCAACAACTTGTATCTATGTTTTGAGTAAAAAGAAGTTAAGGGAAGTGTCATCATCAAACTTTTGCTTGTGTTTTATTGATAATAAATGTCTTAATTGGTCCTCCCAACTGTTAAAAGGATGGTGAACAGAATAGGTAACAAGTAGTGAGAGGGTAAGAAATGAAGATTTAGTTTACTCCTCTATAGTTTGCCACACTATACAGTAGCTTTTAAAAAATATTGCATTCTATGTTAGCGTAATTTTATAATAATCTGAATTCTTTCGTATTTATTATAATCAAATACAAAATTCACTGTCCAATATTTGCATTGTATTATTCATAGGAAAAGTTCAATCAAGAGACTGAATGAATTTACCACTGAAGCATTAATAACCACTATACGTGATCTCTTTGGAGCTGGGACAGAGACAATCAGCACCACTCTGAAATAGGGACTCCTGCTCCTGTTGAAGCACCCAGAGGTCACAGGTATTACTGCAGATTGTGAGCAGGGTGAATTTCACAACATAAATTGGCAAGACGCTGCTAGTGCCCTTCATCTTATTTCTCTTAAAGAAGATTCCTTATTGAAATTTCGGTGCCACCAGCTTTGATTTCTCCAAATTTAATGAAGGGATAAAACATTGTATAGTAGGGGACCATGTCTGAGAGAAGTAAAGGACCCCATGGGCAGTAGCAAGGCAGTGGAGCTCTGTTCACATCTGAATTCCACTGGGAAGTCATGTGCAGCATGCAACAGCCAACCTGACTTGGTCTAAGACTGTATATTGGTATTCCTAATGAGAAGCCACTTGGAACATTAAGTGTGTTCTTGCAAGATTTCTGCATATATCTTTCCCTATTCAGAACTGCTAATGCCGGATAGGAAAGATCAATACACTCCTTATTGGAGCATAAGTAGAAACTAGAAATTTGGTAGTGGGGAAATTGTCTATACTCTGAGAAGTATTCTAAACTGTTTGAATCATGAGGAAGGTGTTGCTACTTAGGTGTACCTAAAGGAGTTTTGAATTCCAGAAATATATTCCCATTAATCTTACCTTTTATGAACAATTTTTTTTGGAAATGCACCTTTAAAGTGTTCCAGTTATACAGATTATTATTGCAGATTAGAAGCATACACTATCTTTTCCTGTTTCAGGACCCCATCGAAACTATTATAAAGTAATTACAAATGAGAATTACACCTTTTAACGTGGGAGAAGAGGGCTAGATAAAACACTCAAGTTTCTGAAACACAGAGAGCAGAAGCAAAGGTCCTAATTAACTCAACAGACAGGATGAAGCTGTTATTTTCATAAGTGTGGAAAAGCCAGTCTGTGTCCCTGAAAAGTTCATAAGATTCAGGATTTAGAAGTATCAAATATTATATAGGTTAGGAATGAAAATAGGGGCCCCTCTGTGCTCAGGTCCCCTCTACAACTGCTTTGAGCAGTTGACTCTTTTCCTCTCATAGGAAGAGAGACATTTACTATCTAGAGAAACTGAACCCAAGAGGCTCTGTAGAAAAGGACACCATGCACAAACACGAAAGGACCAAAACACAGCGCTGAAAAGAAGGTAGAAATCCACTGCTTGGAATCCGATGCTCTTAGCTTTTTTTCTCTGTCTGAAAAACTAACAACCAGATATAGAATCCAGAAAATACATAGCTCCAAAGAGAAAGATCTGCATGTCCACTATCAAGGCAGAAGATTCTTTCCAAGTGACCAATGAGCAAATGAAATAAAATCATATACCAAGGAAAAGAGGTTCTTGGAATTTTAGAACATCATGGTTAAAAGCATACCAAGTTTCTGAAATAAATCAGGTCATATTTAAATCACAGATCAAAATAGCATCCGTTCTTAATAACTGTCATTTTCTGCATTATAAGGAAAGATAAGGGCTGGGCTTGGTGGTGCATGTCTATAATCCTCATTACTCAGAAGGTTGAAGCTAGAGGATTGCAAGTTGGAGGGCAGTCTCAACAACTTACTAAAACTTTGTCTCAAAATAAAATAAAAAGGGCTGTGGGTGTGGTTCAGTGGCAGAGCATCTCTAGGTTTAATTCCTGGAGAGGTGGGGGAAGGGAGAAGAAAGAAAAGAAATTTTCACATCTGCATGTTTGTTAAAATTTTTCTTCCCTTTTTCACTTTCACCTAAATACACTAGAGGATATGTTCAATCCAAATACTTGAAATCAAGGCGGAGGAAGTCAGAGGTTCCAGGAATCAGAAGATACATAAGGATGGGAGTTTAAGGGAGGGTCCTGGACACCAGGCCTAGGAAACAACCTGTTTTCCACACTAAGTAGATAAAGCAAGTGTAAGGGAAGATAAGAAAAATAAAAGAAGGAATCTGAAATTTAAACATTTAGAAAAAAACTATTACTAGAATTCTGAAACATAAAGCTAAGCTTTGGATACAATATTAATAAGAAACTAAAAAATTGGGAATTGTTATATATTAGTATATTATGTTCAAATATAAGTTAAACATAGGGAAAGAATGAAACATCAATAGTTACCTTACTAGTGATCAATAGTTATGTTTCATAACAGTATAAATCATGTACAGTGATATTAAAAATTGTGATCAAAATATATAGGTAAAGTATCTGAGGTGTGTGCGTGCGTGTGTGTGTGTGTGTGTGTGTGTGTGTGTGTGTGTATCTATTTGTGGTGTATATTTTGCATAAAGCAAGGGTGGATCTTCATCTTCCTTACCAGGAAGTTGTTAGAAATTATGTAACATTGGATAAACCAAGAAACATAATTGACCATTTCTTAGAAATATGAACATTTCAGAAGAAAATTCAAAAATAATTCTAAAAGTCTACAGCTACAGAGTGGGAGATTAATATGGGTCCCACTGACACACATACACACACACACACACACACACACACACACACACAGATGGGTACATGATTCATTAGTACAATATAATTTTAAAATGTCATATAATTTTGGTATAAAATTCAAATTTATTCCTGATTTTTTCTGCAGTGACTATAATTTCTTGAATCAATTATGTGATCGCTTCACATTTGAATCATATCTACTAGCATATCCAATATCTATAGGTTTGTATATATATAATTTAATATCTACCTTATAAGGGAGTCATAAATATATATGACTAATAATATATATGTGTATGTATTTGCGTGTGTGTGTGTGTGTGTGTGTGTGTGTGTGTGTAAAGAGAGGAGAGAGAAGGGAGGGAGGGAGGAAGGGAGAGATAGAGAGAGAAAGAGAGAGAGCGAGAGAAAACAAGTGCCAGGATAGGTGATAGATAAGTAGATAGATATAGGTATCATAGCACTCATTTTATATTTTCAGATATATTTGGGGCCTATAACTTTGGACATAACCACAATGTAACCCTGTATTATTAACTTCATATAAGCTGTAACTTCATGTAACTCTGAATTAATTGGTAAGAAATACACTATTTCTCCTTTCCATCAGTTTTTATTTGTATCTTATCAGCTAAAGTCCAGGGAGAGATTGACCGTGTGATTGGCAGACACCGCAGCCCCTGCATGCAGGAAAAAAGCCATAAGCCCTACACAAAGGCTGTCGTGCATGAGATCCAGAGATACATTGGTATCATTCCAACTAGTGTGCTCCATGCAGTGACCTGTGATGTTAAATTCAGAAACTACTTCATCCCCAAGGTAAGACTGTTTCTCACACATTGCACTTTAGTGCTCCTGAAGTTCCCAAATTCGAAGTATGCTCCCAATCCTGTTCCAACACAAGACTGGGAAGTATAAAACTCATCCACATAGCAGTTTAATGGATTCATTTTTTGTTGGGCCAGTTTGGGTCATTAAGCTCCATAACTGTTCCTGATATGCGAAAGTATGAATTTTCCCAGTTTCTTCTGCTCTTTAAAGATTGTTTTATGTATGCTCAGCTGTTTACATTCCTAAAACAAATTTTAGTATCAGTTTGTTGATTTGCTAAAACTCTCTCCTGGAATATTTTCAGTATGTCATTAAATCTGCAGATCAATTAGGAAAGAATTGATATCTTGACCTGTTGTATTTCAATTCATGAACATTATATAAGTTCCCATTATATTTTGGCTCTCTGTAATATTTGCCAATATTGTTTCTTTTCAATGGAATGGCTTATACACTACTGAAAGTTTTTATTAGGTAATTAATATTTTGAAAGATATTATGAATTGTATGATTTAAATAATGTCTTTTCCATTTTGTTTTTCTTGGAATATAAGCATACAGTAACAGTTTTTATTTTAATCACTTTATATCTAGAATTCTTGTTAAATATATTCATCATGGCCAGTAATTTGTGTTTAGAATCAAATGGAATTTCTTAAGTACATTACCTTGCTATCTGGATTAGTACTTGTTTTATTGGTGATTTTCCCATTCTAGTGACCTTAAATTCTCTTTATTGCATTACTGCACTGGCTGAGATTTCCAGAACAGTGTTGAACAATGGTGTGTTGAGTTCACTTTTATTTTTTTTCCCCTCTAGCAGGGAATGAAGGTTTAACATTACATTATTTCATATGATATTTTACGTACATTTTGGCAGATATTCTTTTTAAAAATTGAATTTAAAAAAAACAAATGACAGCAGAATGCATTACAATTCTTATTACACATATACAGCACAATTTTTTTATATCTCTGGTTGTATATGAAGTATGTTCATACCAATTTATGTCTTCATACATCATTTGGATAATGATGTCCATTACATTTCACCATCATTGCTAACCCCCTGCCCCCTCCCTTCCCCTTCCACCCCTCTGCCTTATCTAGAGTTTGTCTATTTCTCCCATGTTCTCCCTCCCTACCCCACTATGAATCAGCCTCTTTATATCAGAGGAAACTTTCAGCATTTACTTTTCGGGATTGGCTAACTACACTTAGAATTATCTTCTCCAACACTATCCATTTACCTGCAAATTCCATGATTTTGTTCTTTTTTATTTCTGAGTAATATTCCAGATAAATAAGACCATTTATCCATTCTTCTACTGAAGGGCATCTAGGTTGTTTCCACAGTTTAGCTATTGTGAATTGTGCTGCTATAAACAAAGGTGCCAAAAACATGTATTGGAGAAAAGATGGCTTCTTCAACAAATGATTCTGGGGAAAACTGGAAATCCATATGCAACAAGATGAAATTAAACCCCTATCTTTCACCATGCACAAAACTCAACTCAAAGTGGACCAAGGACCTGGGAATTAAACCAGAGACTCTGCGTCTAATAGAAGAAAAAGTAGGTCCTAATTTTCATCATGTAGGATTAGGCCCCAACTTCCTTAATAAGACTCCTATAGTGTAAGAATTAAAACCAAGAACCAATAAATGGAATGGATTCAAACCAAAAAGTTTCTTCTCAGCAAAAGAAACAATCTGTGAGATGAATGGAGAGTCTACATCCTGGGAGCAAATTTTTACCTCTCACACATCAGATAGAGCACTAATCTCTAGGGTATAGAAAGAACTCAAAAAGCTAAGGACCAAAAAATCAAATAACCCAATCAGTAAATGAGCCAAGGACCTGAAGAAGATATACTTTCAATCAACAAATATGTGAAAAAATATTCATCATCTCTAGCAATTAGAGAAATGTAAATCAAAACTACTCTACGATTTCATCTCACTCCACTTAGAATGGCACCATTTGACCCAGCTATCCCTTTCCTTGTTCTATACTCAAAGGACTTACTATTTTTTATCTTTATCTTTATCAGATTTATATTCTTTATCAGATGAGGGAAGTTTTTCTTTTCTTTTCTTTTTTTGATGTTTCCTTAGAATGTGTTGTTTTGTTTGTCACTAATGAACAATTTTATCAAATGGATGTTCTGCCTCTATTGATCATATATGGATGGTCAAATACTTTGGTCTCCCTTTCCCCAATACATATGTATATCATAAGTACACACATAGCAGTATTTGATCTTCTACAGTGTGTTAAAGACATTTGTATTTATTTTTGTGACACATTATTCTTCAATTTTTCTTCTAGAATATTCCTTGTCATATTTATGATACCAAATTAAATCTGGCTTCATACTATGAGAGGGATCATATTTTCTACTGTGGACTACTTATTTATTTACCTTTTGCTATTCTACCTTCTTATTCTTATCTCTGTGACTTTTTAGTTGGTGTTTAGAATGCTTAGTAATATTTACCTAAGCGCGTGTATATATATATATATATATATATATATATAAAGGAAAAGCAAAGCAACTTTGCATTTTCACATGATGTTCTTCTTCCAAAAAGACTTCTCCCTTCCCCTGCTAGGTGGTCAGAATGCTACAATACCTCCTGCCATGACTCAGAGCTATTGACTAACAGTTGAAAATTGCCTGCAATCACCAGCCAAACTCAGAGGTTCCTCCAGCTGTGCAATCTCAGAATCAATTTTTATTTCAGCAGCTTTCCAATGACTCTAACATAAGGCTTCTATGTATATCTGGACTTTGTAGTCAGTATGCTCCAAGCTACTCCATTATACATGGGGCCAACACATTATGAAGGAAAATTAAAAATGGTATAACTAAAAATTTTATTTTTGTTGGGTGTGGTGGTGCAAACCTGTATTCCCAGAGGCTTGGGAGGCTGAGGCAAGAGAATTGCAAGTTCAAAGCCAGCCTCAGCAACTTAGCAAGGTCCTAAGCAACTTCGTGAGATCCTGTCTCAAAATAAAAAGGGTTGGGAATGTGTCTCAGTGGTTCAGCACCCTTGGGATCAATTGTTGGCACACAAAAAAACTTAATTTTCATGGTGGAGAAATCATTTTGAATTTAGTAAGATTAGAATTAATATTTGCATCTTCTGGAGATGAAGGACTTGAGAGTTTTCCCAGAGGTGATGTGTCTTCCTCTGATGATGATAAATTTTATACAAGGGTTAAATTTTATTTCTTTTCTTTTTGTTTTTATTATCTTATAAATACAAAGGTTAGATTTTTCAATTTGCTATTTTAAGCAAAGAGCACAACCTGGAGTTCAGGCTGTACCCAGTACTTTTTGATTATAGAGTCTGGAACCCAAGGGAATAAGCTTTTCCTTTCTGTGTGGAACAATTCAATAAAGGAACTTGTAACACTCCCAAGCTGATTCTAATGAACCCTTATGAATTAATAACTTTTTTTCTGCTACCACAGGATTGGACCACCAAGCTAGATGGATAGAATGCTCTAAGACAATTTGTCAAACCTACTGTAATGAGTCAAAACAGTCAAAAGTCTAGTCTTTTAGGTAAGAGAGTTTCTCTTGCTGCTTCTCAACTCTGACATTGTAGCACAAAACCAGTCATAGTTTGTGTGTAAGTGAATGAAGATGGTATGTTCCAATATTTCCGACAGTGATTTTTACAAATTTTGCGTATCACAATATATATTCTTTTTTTTTTCAATTTTAAAAATTACTAGATAAAATTCTGTACAAGAACCAATGACATGTTGGATGGATTTGGATGGGTTGTGGTTTGCTGATGACTGATCTGAGTCAGCACTGTCTAGAGAACTTTTTAAGTGATAGAAATGTTATGCATATCAGTGCTGCCCACACAGTAGCTACTAGCCATATGTGCCGGGCAAGTGCCTGCAATATGATTAGTGCAAGTAAGGAACTGAATTTTAATTTAATTATTTTAAATTTCCAATTTGTTTTTAACACCATTGTTCACATTTTAACTTAATTTAGTTTTAATTAAATTTAAATATGTGACAAGAGTTTTTTTGTGTTGGCAACTGCAGATGTTAGACTTCCATTATAGTTGGGTAAAGGGGGTAATGAAATACAGTTAGACAACAGTAATAAATCCTAGTGTTCTACAGTACATGGGGATAGTTGTACTTCACAACAATTAATAATACATGTTAAAAAGAACCAGAGGAGAGAGCTTTGAATATTCCCAATGCATTGATAAAGTGATGAAAATACTACGCGCCTGATTTGATTTTGGCACATTGTACACGTGTATTAAGTTGTCACACCATAAATACATACATTTTTAAAAAACCAAATTCTTCACTATTATAAGCCCTGAAAATAAAAAAAAAAATGTAGGGTTGGTGCTATTTCACTGAGTGGCCAAATCAAATTGAATTGGAGTAAACCAATTACACTTTTTGTGAAACATTCATGAATTTTGCTAAAAATGTACTTGTTCTATGTTATTGCACTATATTACTCTATAGAGAGTATAATTAAAATCTACAGTGTATATGTCATAATGCCCTTTTAAGATGTTGAGCAATGTGACAATGGAAATGCATTGGGCTCCTGAGATATCACTTAGAGACCGAGTATTTGCACCTCTAAGACACACGTTTATACTTGATGTTCATACTCATGGTTGAAATAGAAAGGTAACCAACAATAAAACTGCCCCCTACTGACACACATACACAAACACCTAATTTTGAAATGGTTGATGAAACTTTTTTGAGATGGATGACTTCCTCTGAAATGTAGAGGTCAATGGTCATTACTGTTAGGGTCTGTAAACAAGTCAGGATGGCGCCTGGCATTTTGCCAGGGGGAGTGGTTTGTGAGGTGGTGCCATCGAGCCATTAAGTGTGGAGATT